TGTCTTTCTCTCTCTCATGGCCTCTCCCACAAACCTTACCGAAGGAGGTGGGCACAGAACGGTCATTCCCATCCCTGCGCCCTCTCAGATCCTTTTGAGCTGCGAATGCCCGCCGCAGGGCCTTTTCTGCGTGATCAAGCATCTGCTCAGGGGCTAAATTATGAGTTTTCTGGAGGATTGTGGGGGGTGGGAGGAGAGGCAGAGGGAGGGGAGGGAAGGAGGCTCCTGTCTTGATGTTTAGCTTTGTCTTGTGGTCGGCTACCTACAAGAGAGATTAAGCATGTCTGCGGCCTCTCTTTCTTTGGCATCGGAACAAAGGTGCCCGCCACAGCAGCTGGCACCGCTCCGACTCTGTCCGCCTGTTGACAGACAAAGCAGGTGGAGAAAGCCCCACCCAGGCCTGGGGGAGATGAGATGTTCACTCATCTTTGTATGGATGCACATGTTGCTGCAGTGTGTACCATGTGGGTGCTTGGCATCCCACACCCGAGCCTTTGTCCGCCCCAGATGTGAAGGGAATCTGAGGACTATGCTCTCCCCCCTTCTTTGCCTTTCAAGATACCCTTGGGCGGCGCAGGGCGGCTTTGACTGAAATTAAAAACCAAGTTCCTCGTCCTCATTGTGAAATTCCCGGCGCACCGATCGCTGTCTCCTTCCGAAGGCCAAAGAATCTGATTAGAACTTGGGTCCAAAAAAAGAGAGAGGGGACTTTGGAAGTTGCTCTCCAGTTTCGAAACTCTTCACAACACGTCTTGAGCTGCTCCTCCAACCCGGGATCGGCCGCATCCAGCTGGGCTTGTAAGAGCAGGTTGCTGGTTCTGCGTCTGGAACCTGCATCAGAAGGAAGCCCCAAGCCCACCGGGTGCGTGCCCGGGCCTGCGGGTTGGTTGATCTTTATAAGTCAAGGCGTCTCCTCCTGGCGGGGACCAAGGCTGGCGTGCGCCTGGCGGGTATAGCGGTGGCGTCCGAAACCATCAGCAGAGACCGAGGGACATGTCTCCCCCCCCCACAGGGTTGGAGAGCTGGGTGGGAGGCTGGTTCCCCCCCCCAAATCTCAATGCATCCATTGCCAAGCTGCATTCTCACCCCCCCCACCCATGTACCCCCTGTAAACAATATATTTATTTTGACACACTCCGGTGCCCAAAATCCCTAAACAACTTGGCTTTTGGGGGATTCTGGGTTCTGTTGTCTGAAAACCTAACTTTGCTTCGGGGAGGGGACATGAATGCTAAATGAAATCTCAGGAGTGATGACTCCAGGCCACGGCAAGGCTCAAAATCCACAGCCCTCCCAGGAGTATGTTGTAGAATCATGGGCTACGGTATTCTGAAAGTATCTTGAGTGCGGCCGAAGCTGATCATCAGGGAGTGAAAGACTGGGGGTGGGAGGAGACACGAGTCTCAGACTGGGGGTCCGGGAAGGTTTGGGGCAGTCGGCCCTCCACGAATGGCTGTCCGGGCTGGGGATGATGGGATCTGCGGTCCAAAAGGTGGCAGGTGAAGAGAACAGGTTGGTGCCACAACTTTTGTGCTTCTCAGACCACCCCGGGATTGACATTGCTCAAGCGATTATGATCCAGCGATCACCCTGAGGGGGAGAGAGAGAGTCCACCTTTGTCAGCAGGGAGACGCCAGATTTGCAAACCTCAGCATTTCAATCCATTTTCGCCCCTTTGGGGTCATTCTAATGAGCCAACATTCCTGGATCTGGATGACCTCCGGAGTGGGGGGGGAAAGAAACCTAGCAAATCTCAGCTGTCTGCTATGCTTTAAAAAAAAAAGCAACCAAACTTTGCAAAGGCAGGAGGCACCCAAAAGGGAGCCATCTCTGGAGGCACACAGGCTTTCCAGTGTAAAGGAAAGCCCTCTGTACATGCCCAGAGGCAAACATGAAACAGCTTTATCTGGAATTGGACTAGAATTGAGCGCTCAGCTGAGCAAAAGTCTCTCTCCCCCCCCCTCCGGTCTTCTGGGCAGGTTGTTGTTGAGTTTCCCAGAGCTGAAATCCTAATTAACGGCCTAATAGGGATAATTACCCTCATGAATTAATCTCCTATTAACACGGTGAGATGGTGGGGAATCGAACACAGCGAATGAGCATTTAGCTATTCGTGGAGACCCTCCCCTCAAATAAAATATCAACGCATCTCAAGCAGCCTCCCTTCAACCCTGACCCCCTCCGGAGGCTGTGGACTTACAGCTCCCATATGCTCCGACCACTGGCTTAGCCTGGGGGTGTGGCTGATGGGAGTTGTAGTCCACGGAGGAAGGCTGGTCCCGGCGAGCCAGAAAGCCCTGAAGCCACTTCTTTGAGAGGAACCAGAGCGGATCTCGCCAAGAGATAAAATTAGCAAGGCTTTACTGAAGAAGTTAGGTAAATTTCAGGACACTAAGTATTTAAGGATGCCCGAAAGCCCCATATGACTCAGGAGGCTTGGGTTCAAATTCTCCCTCAGCCAAGGAAGCTTCCTGGGAGTACGGAACTCGTAAGTAATAATAATAATGATAGTGCCAGAATTGTCAAGAGAGAACGGACCCTGAAGGACATTTATTCGAACCCACTGGGAGTGTAGGAAACCCACAAGAAAAGAGAAAAAATGTTCTCTAAAATACATTAAATTGGGGCTTTTTGATATTTGTTTATCGTGACGATTTTTCTTGTTTAATTTGTTTCGAGTTACGTCGGTTAACTGCCACGAATGGCACCGCAAGGCCCTCTAAACACGGCGCGAATGTCTCCATCCATGGAAAGTCTGCTACCTCCCGAGGCAGCCTGGCCCAGCCCTTGACCTCTCTTCGCAGCACGAAGGTTTCCTCCCAATAATGTTCAGCCGAAATCCGGTTCCCTCAAGCCAATACAGAGCAAGGGTGATGCATACTAGGGGAAGGAGGAGCAGAGAGCCGGTCCCGATCCATTTCTCCCACCCCCTCACGCTCTTTGTCCGAAAACCTCACACACTTGGCCGGCGTCTCCCGCTGGCCATCATCCTCGGCCGGAGGTGGGGGAAACCAGATGCTTCCTGCCCAAAGCCGCCTCAGCTTTTCCGAGGAAAAGCAACACAGACGAATCGTGTCAGATTGCCAGAGTCGGGCGGCGTTTGTGGGAATGGGTGGAAGGAGAAAGGGTTGAGGGTGCGATTTGCACCTCTGGAGAGGCTGGGTGGGGAAGTGCCAGCCTCCATGAGGCCATCCATGCTGCTCGTTGACGCCACTTGGCACCTTAAAAACCTAGAATATCGCCTTATCTTGAATGCCGCTTGGCACCTTAAAGCCGGGCACCAGCTTCCTTTTGATGTTAAAAGGAGGAACACCCCCCTTTCCTCTTTCCCCGTCGTGTTTCGGCCATGGATCACGCCTTGGTTGGCAGCTCCGGTGGGAAAACCGAGGCAGCCGGTTCCCAGGTTGGCCTCACAAAAAAAAGTGGAGACCTGGCGCTGGGAAATCGGGCCGAAATCAGTGCCAGGGCAGGATCAAGCCTCCCCCCTGGACACCTCACCCCGGTTCCTATGTTTCTATTATGTAAAAATTGTTTTATATATATTTATTGCCTATTTTATGTTGTTAGCTGCCTAGAGTGGTCTTAACCGACCAGATAGGCGGGATATAAATAAAATAAAATAAAATAAAAAAATAAATAAATAAATTCCTAGACGGACATGGCCTTGGAACCTGGATTCGTGGCACTCCGTTTGTGGGCGGGGGGCGGCAGTGGCTGGATTCACGGCATCAGCCAGATTCAGCCCCTCAAAATTTATTTTCTGTCGACTGCAAGTCCTAGGATCTATTGACTGTGTCTCTCTCTTTTTTTTCAACAAAAACACTGGATAAAAGCTGGTTTTAAAAAGAAAAATAGAAAACGGATGCCTACCCAGTTAAACTGCCAGTCTAAGCTATGTACCTCCGTATAGGTCTAATCCAGGCAATTTTGTCCCTCTGGATGCTTGGACTACCATTCCCATAATCCCCACTCAATGGCTCCCGCTGGCTGGGGATGATGGGTGTTGCAAGCTAAAGCATCTGGAACTCAAAGCTTTCCCACTGCAGGTTTATTGTGACAACAAGTAATCTTATATACAGTATGTCAGTTCTAGACTGTTAGGTTTCCTTTTTAACCTTTCTGTTTCATTGTATCATCCTTTTGTTTTAAAATAAGAATACATAATCACGCTTGTCAAAGGTATCAAACAAATTACAAACACAGCTTTCAAGATTGCCTTTTAATTGATGTAAGCTGCTTTGGGGCCCTTTTGAAAAAGAAAGACGGGGTAAACAATATTTTACACAGATAAATAAATCACATTCCAAATCAGTTTTCAATTCACACTGCTTAATTGATGTAAGCAGCCTTGAGGCCCTTTTGAAAAAGAAAGGCGGGGTAAACAATATTTTATACAGATAAATAAATCATATTCCAAATCAGTTTTCAATTCACACTGCTCAGTTTCTCAAGGCAAAAAAGGGGGCACAAATTCATCTCCAAAGAAACGTTGAACCTCCTGGAGTTCAACTTTTGACTCCGTTCTTTAATTTACTTTCTTAAGCAGCCTTGAGGCCCTTTTGAAAAAGAAAGGCGGGGTAAACAATATTTTATACAGATAAATAAATCATATTCCAAATCAGTTTTCAATTCACACTGCTCAGTTTCTCAAGGCAAAAAAGGGGGCACAAATTCATCTCCAAAGAAACGTTGAACCTCCTGGAGTTCAACTTTTGACTCCGTTCTTTAATTTACTTTCTATCCCCAGGCAGTAACTTATCTGCACTCTGCACATGGGCAGGGGCACGCTTCCCAAGCTGCCTTCCTGCTATCCAGGAGTGGGGAGAAAACAGGGTTTAAAAGAGAGATGGAAGTTTGCTGGGTGGGCTGAGGAAGCCCGCGAGTCAGAATAATTTGAGATAATTTCAGTCAGGAAAGGGTAAAAAAACTACTCCCCCCAGGATGCATCGCGGCACCTGTCGGCTCAAAGGGCGCGGCGATTGGAGGGAGGGGGCGTGACGTCATCACACCGCGACCGACAGGCAGGGAAAAAGTCAGGGGCTCAGCGCTACCCGGGCAGATCTGATCTTGGTGAGTTTGTTGGACCTGGTGGGCAATTAAACTTAAGCTCAGAGGGGCATAAAAAGGATTTAATCTGAAAGTGGGTGTTGGAAACCATGGAGAATGGGGGCAGAAGTTTGCATTAAAGGCGGAGGATCATATATTTCTTCCATTTGTGTGCAACCCCCCTTTTAAAAAAAAAATGCATTTATGAAATCAGAAAAAAAAATCAGTGCAAATGAATGTTTTAAAAGCCACGCACGGGGTGCTGCTGCTGGAAGATCATGCTTTTTGTCCTGAAATTGCTAAAAATTGTTAAAAAAAAGCCCAAGATCTCTCATTGCAAGAATTCACAAGTAAAATATGGCATACATTGCTGATGGAAAAAAAATGACTAATAAAGTTAGATTACGTAAAAGAGAAATAAGCCATAGTAAATTCACTGAAAATTGGAAGCCATTATTAAAATATGCCGACAAAATAGACTTTGAGATATATGGTTTGAAACGAAATTTAGATTGTTGGGTCAATATTTCTTTAAAAGGTAACGGGGAATGGTGTATATGTGATTTGGAGGATTGTGGGGAATAGCTTTGTATTTACTATTTGTAATATGGTCGATTGTTTTTTCATTCTTTAGAAAGAAATAAATGCATTTTTTTTAAAAAAATCATGCTTTTTGTCCACTGTGGGGTGGAAAAATTAATCAGGCTGTTAAACATAAGGATAAGGTCGGCTGGGTGGGCATGTGGATAAACCTGTAAACATCCTTGGGAAATTTGAGGGTTTTTTTCTTTCTTTCTTTCTTTAATGGCAGATCTTGGGTGCTCTGATGGTGCCCCACTGTTGTGGACACAAATAGGCGAGCTCAATCAAGTGCTCTGGTTCCAGAATCCAGAGTCACATGGATCACTGTCTTCCTTCTGCTCCACAGTGTCCGTGGTCATGATGACGAAGCTCCTGCAGTGGCTCTTGATCCTGGCTCTGTTGGGTGCTGCCTGGGCAGCTCTCGCCCTGAACCTTGGGGGGATCAAGCCGTTGCCCCCACCCTGGGATCAAGTGGTCTGGCCGCTGCCCACCTACCTGCTGGTGGCCTTCGGCTGCTACTCACTGGGCGTCGTCGGCTATCGCGTGGCCACTTTTAACGACTGCGAGGAGGCCTCCCGGGAGCTCCAGGCCCAGATCCGAGAAGCCCGAGCCGACCTCGCGCGCCGCGGCCTGATGTTCTGATCTTGCGTCCAAAAGGACTGGATGCTCTGCCCCGATGGAAGGAAAATCTATCTGGACCAAAAGAACATATTCGGGGAAGCGTTGCTTTGCGCTGTTGTGGGGGAAAGGCGTTTTTTAAATCAAATAAACCGATTGGCAGGTAATGGCATGGCAGCATTTCGTAGTACTGAGTGGCAAACGTGGATCGTAAGATGTCTGTTCTACAGAACAAAATAGCTCACAGTCATTTACACGTCACGATAAGCCAAATCATGGTTTGTTGAAATCTGGCTTGTGGTGTGGAAATCCACATATACTAACAATGGTTTGTAATGCAAACCACAATGAGAAGCCAGCAGTTACTGTTCTGCTGATGAACTCTAGGTTGCTTATATGGCTTGTTGAATGTCTGAAACTAGAACTCCAGTTACTGTTCTGCTGATGAACTCTAGGCTGCTTATATCATGGCTTGTTGAATGTCTGAAACTAGAACTATGGTAGGTACTTGATCTTGCCCTGTGGAGAAACAAAGAACATACTAACAGGAGTGGCAGGGAAATCAAACAGGCATCCAGAAGACAAGCTGTGGTTTCTTTAATCATCTACGGTAGGTCCTTGATTTTCTTGTTGATTTTCTTTGTTCCCTGCGGAGAAACAAAGAACATACTAACAGGAGTGGCAGGGAAATCAAACAGGCATCCAGAAGACAAGCTGTGGTTTCTTTAATCATCAAGTCATCTGTGAAGCTGGATAGCTCAGCGAGTTAAGTCTATGGCTGCACAGCCAGAGACTGTGAGTTCGAATCCTTCACGGTGCCTCCTTGAGAGGGGCTGGACTTGATGATCTATAGGATCCCTTCCAGTTCTGCTGTTCTAAGATGATCATGATAAGGATTATGATTATATTCTGCAATCTGTGGTTTAAGCAACAAACCATAGTTAACCCCAACTGCTACCAACGTAAATGGGAGGGATGGGGAAAACAGACACCCCAACTGTGGCTTATCAGCTGCTACAAACGTAAATGGGAGGGATGGGGAAAACAGACTAGGAATCAAGACTATAAACTCTGGTTACTCTAGCTGTCCACGGGACGACTTGCAGTTAAAACATCGGACAATGGCTAACAGTAAATGCAGAGTTGTAGGTTTATTGAAGAGCATCATGTTAGGGCATCTTGCATGGAACAGCCTATTCCAACCTTGGGTCCCCAGATGTTCTAGGACTAGAACTCCCAGATGCCTTCACCCCAGCTATGTCAGCCAGGATTTCTGGGAGTTGTAGTCCAAGAATATCTGGGGACCCCAGGTTGGGAACCACTGATGTAGGAGTGGGGAGTAGACCATGTATATATCCCCAGGGCTTCTGGGATTATTTGGGTGGCGCCTGGATCTCTGGAAACAGCTATTGACCCTTTCTGGAAACCTCCAGGAGGTGCGATTTTGCCAGAAAACATTGCAAATGGGCAAAAACGAAATGAGAAATGGCCAGCAACATTTATCTTTGGTGTTTCGACTTCTTGAAGGTTTTTCAAGGCTTGACCCTCCAAAATCCCTCACCTCGTGCTAGACTCCGTTGGTATAAAGCAGACCCTTGCACCCAAAACTGGATTTTATTTTAAGGAAAGTGGAAATTCCCCAAAAGGCGAACTTTTGCCCCATTCCTGGATTCTCACCCCCAGGAGTGGCACAATAAGTAAATTTGCTGACTCAGTTGCTGGTTGGTTCTCTCTTTTTTTCTTGCTAGAAGCAAGGTGGGAGGTGGAGATCCATATGAAGGCTTTGTTTTTCCAGGGCCTAAAATTCCCAGGCAGACAGAGGTGGTTTTTCCCCCCCTGCCCTCCCCTTGTGAACATAGGAGCAGCATTCATTTTCTGGGGATGTCCAGAACAGAAATTCTGCATGTTCGGGGCTCAAAATGGTGCCTTCCAAAATGACAGGCGTGGTCCGTACGAAGTTTGGAGAGACGGATGAAGCGCCCTGTCAGAGCAAGCGGCTGTCGGCATTAGTTAACCCTCCCAACCTTGGCTTCCCCAGAGGTCCTTGGACTACAACTCCCAGAAGCCTGTGCCACTAACGTCTGGGGATCCAGAGTTGGGTGGGAAGCACTGGGTTAAAGACACGCTATGTCACTCCTGGGAAGGACTGGGTTAAAGACACGCTATGTCACTCCCAAGCCATGTGCGGGAGAAATATGACAAATTATAGAACGGCGGCTGTGAGGCTTCTTAACTTTGGCAAGCAAGGAACGATGGCTAAGGACACCGTTTTCCAGCCTCCTCTTTCTCAAGAGAGACCTTCAAACAAAACAGCGCAGCCTCATAAATTTTTTAAAAATCCTGCCTTGGTTTTCCTTTTCAGACATCCAGCCGGTGCAAGAGTGCTGTGTGACCTGGAAGCTTGCCAGTTCTCCTTGAAATAGCAGCTCCCCGCCCTCCTAGCTTGCCAAAAAAAGGGACAAAGGGTCAATTATCATTTCTGTCCCTCCACCTGGCTGGTTCTGCTAGGATTCATTTGTTCCAAAAAAAGCAGTATCTTCTAGATACGTATTTTTAATTAGCCCTTGTGCAATTAGGTGCAGAGCTGTATAATTAAGTAGGAACAAGCTAATGAGCCATTTCCTGAGCGATCGCTGCCTTCCTGGACAGGAGGGTGTGACATGAGTTGCCTAGAGCAACCTTCTGCCCTCCAGATGTGTCTGACTACGACGACTATCATCCCCAGCGGCACAGGGTAAGAAAGACTGCCTCAATCCATTACATAACGTAGTCTAGTGGTAGCTGCCCCTCCTGCTGGTTTTTTTTATCCGTGCCAACAAGTGTTTGCAGGTATACTGCTCCTGAAGAGGGAAGCTCTACTACTACCTAAAATCTAATCTGGACATTCTACATGATATTCCCCACTACCTAAAATCTTCTAATCTGGACATTCTACATGATATTCCCATTCTTGGCCCAGTTCTGTACTGCACTGCACTACGACGCCCATCATTCCCTAGACTGCATGTCCAAAATATCTGTGGGTATTAGATTGAGGAAAGCTGTCCTTGGAGAAAAGCATTACATGAACTGATGTATTTTGAAACAAATCACAGGGGTGGTTGGGTTAAAACTGGGCTTGGAATCATAGCGGTTTATGAGAACGTGAAAAAAACACTGCACATGATCAGAGGCACCCGAGTATTAGTAAATCACACACTGCACCGAAATCAGATGCCAGAGTCCTTCTGGGAATTATTAAAGCCAGCTCAAGCCCAATGTGAAGCTTTGCTAGCCCGTTTTTGTTGACAAGAGATGGAAATGCAGTGTTATTTCAACCTCGGGTCTGTGCAGAATAGCTTTGTAGGGTTTGACCCATCACAGATTAAAAAAAGATAACTCAATTCCCCCAAAACAGTTTTTTTTTTATTATTACAAGGCACTTGAAATAAAGCCTCCCGATGCAGGAGCAGCCACGCCTAGCATGTCCAGGGAAAAAGCGTGTCCAACACTGGAAAGTTAAATATCTGAATCTTCTTTTTCTTAATTTTTTTCCCCTCTGGCTTTCCTGGAGCTCTTACCCCACGGAAAAGGCTCAAAGGTAGGGGGGGGAGAGCATCCTTTTCCAAACTGGTCTGTAGTTCTCTGCCGAACTACAAACCCCATCATCCCAGAGCTGCATCGAAGAGGGACGATGGGACATGTAGTCTAACCACCAAGGACATCTATTAGTGACCTTATCACAGCTCCAGCAAGCGGGCGTCCAAAACTTATGAATATATACGCAACGAAATGGGCTTTTTAACAAGGCTTCAACCCCGCCTTGAAGCATTTTTTTCTAATTTATATTTTCTTCCCGATTCCCCCAACCACCCGTTGCTTCATTGTTTATGATGCATTTCGTGTTTAATTTATCTTTTCGTTTTTTTTTTTAAAGCCTGCTTCACGCCAGCGGTGAAGGTTTTGTCCAAACGGAATTTGGTGGTTCGTTGTTGATTGCTTTTAATCGTCGAATCCTGCGGAGATTAACCAGTCCCTACGCTCAGGCTGTAAGACAGTTGTTCTGAGAAGGGGTGTGGGCTCCAAAATCCATCGAAGGCCTGGTGGAGGAAAGATGGGATAGTGGTGTGTGTGTGGAAGGAGGCAGTGGGGTGTATACAGACTTGGTCCCAAGGCACTGCCAGAAAAAGCCACAACATGACCCCACAACTTCAGGAAGGGCACCGACAGGGAACGCTTGACACATATTTCAGAACAGAGCTCAGCAGAGTGGATTCCAAAGGACCACCGAGCCCAGAATCCCCAACCAGCCATGCTAGCTGGCTGGGGGATGATGGGGACTGTAAACCAGCACCCCCAGGAACTTTTCTGCAAACGCCTCTCTCTCTAGGGCCAGCTTTCCGCTTTTTTAGGCAGAAAGTTCTCCGGCATCTTTGCAAATGTCCGCTTTTTGCTCCGAATGTGGAGGGAGGAGGAAGTCAAGATGGCCATCCTCCTTCTGTTCGGAGGGCATTGTTCGTGGCTTGTGGCTCTTCAGGGCCAAGAGGACGGACTCCCCACCACCAGGCTTGGACGGCTGATGGGTGTCCCCCGGTTTGCAGGGCAACGGCTCTTCCCCTTCCGACCGCCGTCCGAGGCCACCCTTCGATCCTCAGGCCTGCAATAACCGGTACGGTTTCTGGTGCTCCGTAGGAAAATGCCAAAACAGCCAGAACCGCACGAGGCTGGTCACGATGCCCGGCACATTGGGGACCTGGCGGATGAGATGGGGGGGCAAAGAGGGGTGAAGGGCAAAGAGACACCCAGCAGGAAGGGAGGGGAGAAAAGAGACGGGGAAAAAATCAATAAACCCTGTTCCAACTGCATCACCCCACGTACACCCTAACCCTTCCCTCCCTCCATCTTTCTCCGCTCCAGTGGGCTGATCGGCTGCTCCATTTAATTAATTAAAATCAATAGCGCATGATTTGTCAGCGGTCAAGGGTGGGAAGCGAGCGCCGGGAATCATGAAGAATCCCGCAAATGGGGGTCTGCGCTCACCGCTATATAAAGATCCTGGAGAAGGAGCCCGTACATCGTCCAGCAGGAGGAGGCCAAGAAGGTTGTGACAGTCAGAGGGAAGGACAGGCAGCGGGTTGATCGGCTCTTCACAATCTTGGCCTGCGGAGGGGAAGCCATAAATCATCCTGCCAGGGACTGAAAAGAGGAGTTTAGCGGGGAAAACGCTCGGCCGCCCCTCCAAATCTTTGCATCAGAGAATCAGACCCATAGAATCGTATACAACACGAATGCAAGAGGGAGCAATACCTTTATAGATCACTAAGCAATCACTGTACGATAGATACATCAGCTTTCATGGTCCACGGTCTGCAAAGGCGAGTTATTCTTTGAATTCGGATTTTACTCTATACAGTGGTGCCCCGCTTAACGATTACCCTGTTTAACGATGAATCCCCTTCACGGCGATGTTTTTGTGATCGCTTTTGCGATTGCAAAACGATGTTTGAATGGGTTTTTTTCGCTAAGCGACAATCGGTTCCCTGCTTCGGGAATCGATTTTTCGCTTTACGACGATTTTCCAACAGCTGATCGTCGGGTTTCACAATCGGCCACCGCTATGTAAAATGGCCCCCCGCTGTTTTTAGGACTGATTTTTCACTCTACAAGCACCGGAAAACGGCCGCCCTATGGAGGATTTTCACTGGACAATTAGGTATTTCGCCCATTGGAACGCATTAACAGGTTTTTAATGCGTTTCAATGGTCTTTTTAATTTCGTTTGACAACAATTTTGCTGTACAGCGATTTCGCTGGAACGAATTAACGTCGTCAAGCGAGGCACCATTGTATAGACCACATGGCTCCCTTTAATTTTCATATAATCTGAGGCAGGTCCCGGAAGGACCACAGTGGGAGGAATGAAGTTAGCAGCTACCTTTCTAGCGACAGGGAGATGACGGTGCCTCAAATGTTTATAAGATATATTGTTTTGTCTTGTTCTCCTGAAGGCTTGTCAACAAAAAGGGGGGGGATTAAAAAAGAAACTAAGGTAACAAATACGGGAAGAGGGGTCAGTTTTCATGTTTTGATTTCCTAACGAGTAAGTTCTTAAACGTAGCCACCCATCTGCTCAAGTGTGGCTCTTCTTGCGTCCGTAAGCTTTTGATTTCGTTCTTTTTACAACAGAAAAAGACAAGGGGAAAGTTAGCCACCATCTGTTCCCACGAACGTTAAATCTGGGTTCAGCGTGATGTCTTCTCTGTCCGGCCCGCAACAGGATAACATTTCACTCTCTCTGAAGTAAACAAGGCCGTTTCCTTTTCGTCTTAAGGAAACGAGAACCTGTCACCGTTCTCCCGTTGGGCCTTTTGCTGCTTTGCAAACAGGGAAAAGCCCTTGCGAGCTGTCGTTGTTTTGGAGTGCCAGCAATAGGGCTAGCTCTTAGGGTGTGGATGGGACCAAGGCCAGCCGGGACGGGTGTTATGCAAGACGGGAGGAGACGAAGGCAAGAAGGGAGACTCAAAGTCACAGCACCAACAGGGGAGAATGCACAGCACTATAGATATTGCTAGAGCAGGGGTCCTCGAACTTTTTAAACAGTTCATTGTCCCGCAGACTGTCGGGTGGCTGGACTATAGTTTGAAAAAAAAAATATGAACGAATGGATCACGTGTGTTTTTTTAAAAAAAGGACCCAGGTCCTTTTATTTTTTACTTGATGGGGTGAATTAATTATTTTTAAGTGAAGAAAAAATACAAGAGGCTACTTTTTAAAATTTGTAAGAGGGAATTAGAATGTATTTTTAAGTTTTTATTAATAAAAAAAATCTATTTTAGCTCATTATTTCTCTATATTCAAATATTTTTTTCTGGGTCCTTTTTTTTGTTAGTTGACCTGAACAAATTCCTTTGCACACTGCACATATCTTCTTTGTAGTAAAAAAAAAACCCAATAGGAGAGAGAGAGAGATAGGCAACCAAAGCGATCGCAGGGCCCAGACGGGTGGAGAAGGAGCTGGCAATCTGGATAGTACAGCAAGGGGCCCCAGATGTGGCCCGCACGCCGTAGTTTGAGGACCCTTGTGCTAATGACTGGCTGGAGAACTCAGTGGTTCTGAAGGCTGGGAGTTCGATTCCCCATTATGCCTCCTGGGAGGAGAGCCAGCCTGGGTGGCCTTGGGCAAGCTGCACAGTCCCAGGACAACAAAGTCCCAGGCCCCCCCCCCCAAAAGGGAAAGATAAAGCACTTCTGTGTATTCTCTACCTAGAAAATCCTGAAAATGCTGTAAATCAGACCTGTCACTTCAAACACTGGTTAGAATTACTTCAGCAGCTTGCTTAACCCTTCTGTACTTGCTTTATTTTACCAACTGACACGGAAAAATTATTAAATATTCCAAGGCGTCTTCTTTTCCATTCTGTTTCTCAAGATGATTCCTCTAGCTGTTGGGAGATTATTTACTCTCATAACCCTATGCCAGTTGATTGGCTTTGGAGTCTAAAATGCATAGAAAGCTAAAGGTTACCAATTCTCTCAATAAAAGAAAACTTCACACACACACCCCAAAAAAACTCAAAACAACCCCCCTCCCGGTGGATTAAAAAAAATGCAGATTCCTTACTATTCCAGGGGAAAGTATTTTTTGGATTATATCATGATAGTTACTGCTCTGATGGGAGCATTCCCAGAATAGGGCTTTCGAAGTAAAAATAACCGCAGTTCAAAGCACGCCTGAATCAACCACGATCAGAAACATGCAGGAAGAAAATATCCTGTAGGACCGAGAAACGTGGATTTCACTCAGCGGTGTGAGGAAACTAGGCCCCCTTTTCTCAGGAAATCTAAACAGCCAGATTGAAACCACCTCCCTTAAAACTGATTCGACCTGAAAGCCAACATACCAGATCAGCCAAAGGTGAGATATACATGGTGATGGTAAAAAGGCTGCAAAACAGCCCCAAACGGTTCAGGCGTGTGGGAACATCTGGAACCAGAAGGTTGAAATAGCAGTAGCCAAGCAGCAGGACGGTCAGTAAGGCTATGGTCTTCAACAACACAGCACCCTTGATAAAAACAATAAGAATAATAAAAACGTCCCTCTGTTTGCAGCAGCAGTGACTATTATTGTTGGGTGAAAGCAGGAGTCATGTGAAGACAGAAGCAATACCAGGTGAAGACAGAAACAAGAAAGAAGACAGATGAAATAACAGGTGAAGGTGAAGAAAAAAGAAGACAGAAGCAATACCAGGTGAAGACAGAAACAAGAAAGAAGACAGATGAAATAACAGGTGAAGGTGAAGAAAAAAGAAGACAGAAGCAATACCAGGTGAAGACAGAAACAAAGAAGAAGAAAAGACAGAATCAAAGAGGCTGATTTGAAAGTAACCTCCTGTTAATAATGTAACTTTTCCTCCACCATGTGATTTAAGATACTGAAAACCTGTTGATTAGCTAATACAACAAGTGTAAATTTTGGAAGCAAACTGCCATAAATGAAGAAATGTCACTAAGCATTACCTGCAGAATGCCAAGTCAAGGAATGCAGTCTGCAATAGGTAATATCTAGGGAGATTTCTTAAATTATAGCACGTTGACTCCAAAATTTGTACCTATTGCATCAACAGCATTTCACCCTTGAGGGTTCAGTGTCTCCAGGGCTGGCTTCCCATCTGAGCACTAACCAAATTCATTGAATTATGGTTCATGGAAAATTGCCCACAACAAACCATAGTTAAAAGAAGCTGGGTTGTTTTCATTTGCCACAGTTAAGAACAACCGCAACTTAGGGTCTGGATGATGCATGAAACTGTGGTCAGTTTAAAATGGAAGATTCTGATCTCCATCTTCCGGCTGTGCTTGACACAACCTAGGAATCTACAAGGGTAGACGGAGGCTAGAATTCCTTCTGTAATACTAAACTATAGTTTAGTGTTACTCCAAATTGCAGCTGTGGAATTCACGACAACGAAAAGCAGGATGATCTCTGTCAAAGATGGACAGTTGTTTTCCTGGAAAAAGAGGAGAGCCTGTAAATTGATCATTGTGACATCTGTCTCATGCAGGATTTGGAAAACGCCATCTTATTTATTTAACCCTATCCAGTCCTTCTCAAAGGTCTAATCCACGGCTTGCCAATTAGAGGGGAAATCAGTGGAGCACCCCCCCGCCCGCTGCCATGTCTTTCAAAACTTTCAGCACCCAGTCCGAAGAAACGCTTTCTTTCAAATCACGACAGCTTGTTGTCGACTCCCGACTTCCTATGCATGTATGTTCTGATGGTCTGTTCAAACATTCAAAACCAGGCACCAACGCACAGTGCCCTAGGAATGACCCAGTAACAGCCAGCCAGGAGGTGCGGCCCAAACCCGCCTGGAAAATTTATTGTCCGCCTAAGACCCAGTTCCTTGTTGACTCAAGGATACAACACCGTTTTTGAGTCAACAGCCTATCAAACTGTCAACCTGAGTGTATCAAGGAGACGTCAACAGACCCAACTCTGACTAAAAAACACAGGTCATGTTAACACATAAGAAGGCAGGCAGGAAAAACAGTCACGCAGTAGTGGGGAGATTTACAGGAGGGAACGAAGGAAGGAATATAACAGTAAATCGATAAATAGATAGAGCAAGATGGTTGTTGTGGGTTTTTCGGGCTCTTTGGCTGTGTTCTGAAGGTTGGTTTTCCTAATGTTTCTCCAGTCTCTGTGGCCTGTATCTTCAGAGGGCAGGAGTAGATAGAGAAGGATTTTAAAAGTAAATTGACTGATAGGTTTTAAAAGATAGGTTTTAAAAGAAGATAGATTATAAAAGTAAATCAATAGATAGACAAACATTTTGATAGATAGATAGATAGATGATAGATAGATAGATAGATAGATAGATAGATAGATAGATAGATAGATAGATAGATAGATAGATAGATAGATAGATAGATAGATAGATAGATAGATAGATAGATGTAGATATAGATGACAGATAGATAGATAGATAGATAGATAGATAGATAGATAGATAGATAGATAGATAGATAGATAGATAGATAGATAGATAGATATAGATAGATAGATAGACAGACACAGACAGACAGACAGACAGACAGACAGATAGATAGATAGATAGATAGATAGATAGATAGATAGATAGATAGATAGATAGATAGATAGATAGATAGATAGATAGATAGATAGATAGATAGGATAGATAGATAGATAGATAGATAGATAGATAGATAGATAGATAGATAGATAGATAGATATTAAAAGTCTCCCTACAATTCTAACTTTCTATACATACAATTCCTGTAACTTTTCTAGCCCGTATCCTGGATATACCTGTCTGGACGTTTTAGGAAAAAGGAGGCCAGATTTAAGGCACCTTTTTCTGACGCAAGGGTGAATTTTTTAATTTAAAAAAAATCCTGAATTCCCATGGCTTCGGCTACGCTTTGAACCCACCTTCTCCGGGCTGAAACAGAAGTAGACCACGATATAAAGCGACTGAAGCGCAGCGCCGACTGCGTTCACGATGATCAGCGTCCCGTCCCCCTTCAGGAAGCCGTAGCTGAGCCAGCTTAAGTTGCTGATCAGGAGGAAGAAAAGAAAAAAAAAGAGTAGAAAAGATGATCCTATGTGGGCCTGAAAAGAGTAGTGTTTTGGAAAATGTATTTTCTTTTAGATCACAACTTTGAGATGTCCTGGAAAAAGCAGCTGATGGGTTTAATCCCCAAACTCAGTTCCAAGGGGAGATTTCTGGGGGCATGCTTTCCCGGCAGTTACCAAACATGGAAAGGGGTGTCCTGAAAACCCGAAATTGACAATTATATGCGTGCATAACCCCGAACCCCTTAAGAACCCTGTTAAGCTCGTACTTGATGTCCGTGGTGAGGAAGGGCAGAAACTGGACGTTCTCCACACTTCTGGTGAGGGACATCTGCCGGAGGTCAGATCTGGGACAGGAGAAAAGACAGGCCCGGTGACCATCTCTAGACCATCCCTCTGCCCTACGCCAAGACCATCATCCACAAACGCTGCTGCGTTCCAGACTACAAGTAAGGGTCTAAGCATGATTCCCAGTGTCCCTGTTTTAAAAACAACCTTTCTTCTTTGTTTACTGCTAGTTTGCTTTTGTTTTTTAAACTTAGATTTGTTTTCAGTCCATGTTGCATTTGATTTACCCTACAGAAAAACAAACCCAGACAAAACAAAACTTTGTTAACTTCCTCCTTGGCAGCCAACACAAGGGATCCTGTGGGGCTGAGTTTCCCCCTTTTCCTCTGCCCCACAGAGCTCTCAAGCGCTGCCAGGGACCCCCATCTGTGGGTCCCATTCTCTCCCATTTATCTGTGATTTCCTGGAAAACAAGAGGGCCCATGGGGTGGGGTGGGGGAACAATGGGGTATGTAGTTGGGGGCAGACAGAGGGGTAGATATGTGGGGCAGGTGGGGGGGATCAAACATACAGAGCTGTCCGACAGACCCTTCCACCCTGTTCTACCCCATTGCATTTCTCAGGTTGTGCCCCCCACAAAAGATCCTAAACCCCACCCCACCTATTTCTCTGCAGTTTCCTGGAGTCGAGGTCCAGGAGCCAACAGGGGCAAAAGGCTCTGACTCCCACCCCAGGCCCCATCTCTTTCTTTCTGCCCCCCAACCACAGATCCCATGCTCCACCCCACATCCCTCTGCTGGGATACAAAGACCCAGGAGGGCTGGAGGGGGGGGAAAGAGATGTAGCAGCATGGAAGGACCTGCCCCACAGCTCTCCGTGTCTGATCCCACCCCCCTCTTCTGCCCCATTGCCCCGGACCCCCCAACGACAGATCCCATGCTCCCCCAAACTCCCCTGCAATGCCTGGGAGATGCAAAGACCCGGGGAGGACAAGAGCAGAATGAAACCCCCCAACCTTCCCG